CTGGTCCTAATAAGAGAATAGAGTGGCTACTACTGGTCCTAATAAGAGAATAGAGTGGCTACTACTGGTCCTAATAAGAGAATAGAGTGGCTACTACTGGTCCTAATAAGAGAATAGAGTGGCTACTACTGGTCCTAATAAGAGAATAGAGTGGCTACTACTAGTCCTAATAAGAGAAAAGAGTGGCTACTACTGGTCCTAATAAGAGAATAGAGTGGCTACTACTGGTCCTAATAAGAGAATAGAATGGCTACTACTGGTCCTAATAAGAGAATAGAATGGCTACTACTGGTCCTAATAAGAGAATAGAGTGGCTACTACTGGTCCTAATAAGAGAATAGAGTGGCTACTACTGGTCCAAATAAGAGAATAGAGTGGCTACTACTGATCCTAATAAGAGAATAGAGTGGCTACTACTTGTCCTAATAAGAGAATAGAGTGGCTACTACTGGTCCTAATAAGAAAATAGAATGGCTACAACTGGTCCTAATAAGAAAATAGAATGGCTACTACTGGTCCTAATAAGAAAATAGAATGGCCACTACTGGTCCTAAAAAGGAATAGAGTGGCTACTACTGGTCCTAATAAGAGAATAGAGTGGCTACTACTGGTCCTAATAAGAGAATAGAATGGCTACTACTGGTCCTAATAAGAGAATAGAGTGGCTACTACTGGTCCAAATAAGAGAATAGAGTGGCTACTACTGGTCCTAATAAGAGAATAGAGTGGCTACTACTGGTCCTAATAAGAAAATAGAGTGGCTACTACTGGTCCTAATAAGAAAATAGAATGGCTACTACTGGTCCTAATAAGAAAATAGAATGGCTACTACTGGTCCTAATAAGAAAATAGAATGGCCACTACTGGTCCTAAAAAGGAATAGAGTGGCAGCTACTGGTCCTAATAAGAGAATAGAATGGCCACTACTGGTCCTAAAAAGGAATAGAGTGGCAGCTACTGGTCCTAATCAGAGAATAGAGGGGGCTACTTCATGATCTGACTCAACTTTGATTGATCGAACTTGGGAATGTACGGCACCTCTTCAATGGCATCGTAAGGTGTAACTCCAGCCAGCTTTCGTGCGGTATCAGTTGTTGCTACTTCGGGAAGCTTCTGTAACGGACAAGGATCAGGGACGCTGCCCTCTTTGAGCTCTGAACTGAACGTAACAATTCCGCTGGAGGGCCAGTGACCGGTAAGGCTAAGACTGTTGTATGCTTTCACTTTCGCCTCTAAATCCACAGGAGTGGCCCACGCTGCTGGGGTCATGCAGACAAAAATCACAAATCTCCACCTGCCAGGGTGACTTCTACCCCGGACGGGACGAGCGTTTGCATGTAGCAGACGTGAATCCCAGAGCAACAAACCACCTTTGGGGCATGCAACCCGTTTACGCAGACAACCTCGTTTTGAGAACCACTCCAAGTTCTCCTTAGACACTTTAGTGCATCTTGGCTTTTGAATGAGCTCCATAAACTCTGCAAAATAGTTATGCGATCCTTCTACTACCTCGAAGGTCCAATCGTCATCACAACACTCCTCCAAGTAGACAGCGCCTTGATATCCATGCAGCCCAATGCGATCAGCTGATTGGTCACAATGTAGCCAACATTGTTCGGGCTCCCAGAATTTTTCTTCGCCGCCTTCCGGTGGTCTGCCAATAGCTATAGCATCCATACTTGTTAGTAGCTGATCGGTCTTCCAAAGCTGAAAATAAACATGGTTGATAGTTATGTTAACAAAATACTTTGCTAGCTCTTGAGGAAAAAGCGGGGGAGGGAAGGGGGGTTGGGCGGTGTAATGTTTTATCATTATTTTAAAAAAAAAATAGTTAACCAGCTTCATTCTTTTTCATATATTGCAGTACAAATATATTTTGCTTATTTTTGTCAGTTTTATCCTTCTTTTGTGAATCTTAAGACTAAAAATGGATGTAAAATTTAAGTTCAATCTCCATTAAGACAGCATTTTCTTCCCATTATTTTAGGGGTAGGTGTTAGGCCAATTGTTAAATAATTTAAGGGATCAGTTGGAGCATGGGGCTTGGGAAGCATGCTAGTTACAGACGCAGAATATTGATGTTGGGATATCTACAGGGTGGGCCAATAAACGTGAGAACATCTCGTAGCGTAATATTTTACGAGATGTTCTCACTTTTATTGGCCCACCCTGTAGTTGAGTGTGGAACACAAAGAAAAGAGAATGGCGATAGATACAACAATACTGTGGTGTTTATTTTAAGACTTTTAAAGATAATGAAATATCAAGGATTTGGCGGCGTTTTTTTTAGGGGGGGGGCGGGGGATGATAATTGGCTTTATTATAGAGAGAGTGTACGAATTTCAGGATAATTATTAAATGTACGTACATTCTGCAATACCCCACCCCCTTTTCATCCCAGTACGCATAATCTCCGAAATAAACTCACACAACCCAACCACCCCCCGCCCCGGTCACTGTGTATGTAATCATTGGTTTGATACATAGCATACTCATTGAGAAGTTAACTCGGGTAAAACTTTGATCTTAATGATCGTTATTTTAGCTCCTGGCATTTCGTTCTGTAAATTGCCGTTTGCTCCTGCGAACGTCGTCATATCCATGGGGGTGGGTGGGTGTGGGTGGGGTGGGTGGGTGTGATAAGCCAAATGGGGACAAGTGCGGACAAGTGGGGGGGGGGGGGGGGGGGGGGGGGGGGGGGGGGGGGGGGAGGGGAGGGGGGAAAGGGGGGGAGAAGGGGGGGGGGGGGGGGAGGAGCGTAATTTGTGTGGACGTGCTTTATGGACAACCGTTTATGATTAAAATGCTTAGATTAAATTCATGTTTAAAAATTTTCGATTATTATTATTTTATTTATCATGTACACCCAGGCCCGGTTTAACCGTTAGGCGAACTAGGCGGCCCCCTAGGGCGGCACATTTTTAGGGGGCGGCACTATTAATTCAATAATTAGTTGCCGTGGGCGTTGGGGGGGGCGCAGTGCGACAGGTTTGCCTAGGGTGCCAAATACTCTGGCGCCGGCCCTTCATATACACCTATGTTAAATATACTTCATTACTCTTCCTATTACCTTGGCAAATATGGGGTAGGTCCGCAGTCTGGTTTACCAGGCTTGCTCCATGTGACCAACGTGGTACTTTTGTATTAAGGAAAAACTGGACTGTGGCCAGGAACCTGGTGGAAAAGTGCCCAACCATTTATGGAAAGATGAGATGTGGTGGTTACATTCTGACTCAGTGAGCACATCCGGTACTACCGTATATCCATTTCTGGCAAGATCATCTCTGTTTTCTTGTGTTAGCATTTCACACACTCTTTAATTTAAACTGTGGAAAAATAATAATTTTTAAAAAAACGTGATGAACAAAAGTGCTTCAAAAGTACACGTTTTGCAACTGGAACCCCTATTCTCTCTCTCCCCCCACCCCCATCTATAATCAACAGCTTTAACCCATCAAAGCTCGAATTGAATCAAAAACAATAGCAATGGATCTTCGCCTCTCTATGCGTCCGCGTAATAACATCATCAGCAAGGCCAATCTCTGCAAGGACCAACTCTGCAAGGACCAACTCTGCAAGGCCCCCCTATGCAAGGCCCACCTCTGCAATAATGTTAAACTTTGCTGGCTGCAAGCGGGCAACATTTTTGTAAACGTGTTTGTGTTGTGCAAGGCGTGAATTGTGAATCTAGTGACTGAACAGCACGGTCAGTATGGTCCTTTATTGGGTCACAAACACTTCCCTCATCCTCTTAAAGCTCATCTGCCATTCTTTCCTTCCTTCTCTACCGACTGATTTATTATTAGAAGAGTATACAACCAACATTTACATATTATTAACAGTTTAAATTTAAAAAAAAAATTAATGGCATCATATTTTATTTAAAAAAACAAAACAAAGTATTTCTCGAATATCCACTGTGGTGCGTAATTTCTAAAATAAGTTTTGAAATTACGCAAGTAATCATCGACTGCACCAATGCTTCTCAAACCTTTTCCGGCCACCGCCCTCTTTCCCAAGATAATATAGTCAGAATAATATTTTGCATGCTGCTCTAGGTAAGGTAGACTAATTTAATTTGAAAATGTATTCGAGTATAAGGAAATCGAGCTTGTAACTTAAATAATTTTAATAACAAGCGAATTAAATTGATCAAGCTATACCTGAGCTTTTTATAGTAGAATGTCATGTTTAGCAAAAGTTTTATATTTCTTTAGGTTTTCACTGGGCACATATATTTAATGCGATGAATGGGTCTTTTAAAGTGACAGCAGATTGGCAATGCTTTGTTTGAAGTCCTATAGCAGATTTTTAATTCACAATTTCAAAAGTTACAAGCTATTTATTTGGATGCGGCACTAAAAGTAAAACCACCTTTCACCAGTTACAATGTCGGCAATGCAACACGACTCTTCTAATCCACCTTCCATGGTGAATGGGTATAATACAAAATTCCCCACTGAAGCCGAAGTACATGATTTCATTACTAAAAATGTGGTAATCCGCTACACTGAACTAAACGCGCTCCTGTCCCACTTCCCCACTTGCAACACTTGTGAAAATGAATGTTAAACGAATTCCGTGAATCCCGTAAAGAAAATACCGTATTAAAATCGCTCAATTTTTTTCAGCATATTCAGATGGTCTCCAAATACTTGCAAATAATGATATAGCGTCTTAGTTTCTCTTCTAGCTCAGATAGAATTAGTAGAAATCGAGGCCCAGGCGGCTAATACGGTGCCAAATTAAGAAAGACTGAGTTGGTTTAAATAAAACACGATGAGACGCCCTTGCATCTTCAAAAGCATAGTACTTGACTTTAGTGGATATTGCGGTTAAATAAGAAATATCGTATGTTTGAGCACTTTTGTCTTCGAAAATCTCCAAAACATAAAAGTAGCTTTTACATTTTAATCATGCTATGGCCCTTAGATGCAAAAGAACTTCCGAACAAAGACAAAAATGTTAAAAATCTTCACAGATCTCTACAAAGAGCGTCAGGTAAATTCAAACGTGAACAGCGTGGGCTGAAATTTAATTCACTGCAGTAACGACGCTATTTATTGATGTCTTGATCACTAAATTTATTGGAAAACCGAAAGTGTTTGATGAATAGCAATCTACTTTGGCAACAGTTGATGGTATTCCGTGAGTTGCGATGTGACTAAGGACTATTCTCTTGTTTTAAACTTAATTTTTAAAAACAAATATTTTAGAAAATATTTATCTCATTATTGATAGCAAATGTCATCATAAGTAAGGGAAACAAATCATAGATATCATAGATTCATTGTCTGGACGACTAAATGACTTTCTTCCCGTCGACCTATCGCGCTGAAACTTGACACATAGACTTTTTGGCGATCACAACATATTCTATCAAATTGTCGGCACCAACCCCAACCCCCAAAAACCATTTAGTCCTGTTTTTTCAAGGAAAAGTTGGAGGGAATTATTACTGCATGAATTGAATTCCCGATAACTGCGCTAAATGAATTCTTTTTAAAAAAAATATCACTAGCGCGTTTGGTGGGTAAAATTTTCTTTTGTGTTTTTGAAAGAGTTAATTAAATAAATGTGCGGTGTAAAAGAGGGTGGGTCATTGGAATAACAGTATAATTCAGTGAAAATAATGTGCGGTTGTGAGCCTGAAAATGGGGGGGGGGGGGCACTAACTGGGATTCTTATAAAGGGCGTTATTTGTACACGGGTTTTGTCAAATTTTTACCCACCCCGACCCCCTCAATGCTCGATATCAAATTTTATAAAGGATCTATACGAAAAACGTTGCCTAATATTTAGACGAGGGTGTGAGACTGAAAAGGGGGGGGGGGGGGCACTAACTGGGATTCTTATAAAGTGCGTTATTTGTACACGTGTTTTGTCAAATTTTTACCCACCCCGACCCCCTCAATGCTCGATATCAAATTTTATAAAGGATCTATACGAAAAACGTTGCCTAATATTTAGACGGATAAGCTGGCTTCCTAGACAGCAAATTACACCTCTCCACGCATCCGGTGAACCCATTGGAACATCATGTGTGGATGATACAGCTTGGTAGCCAGCTTGGCACCATTAGCGTTGCAGGAGTTGTCGAAATTTTCATTAAGTTTATGTTATAACGCCTACGGGATTCCATCAAAATGCTATTCAGAGTTTCCCTTCTCTTAGATATGTTGTCCTCCAAGGTTATCGAGTCACGTCAAACCGAGGTGCTGGTGATGTTTTTGCTTCTCTAACATTGTGTAGGCTTTTGCTGGGGATTGAACTTCTGTCCACAAGCTTAAAATTGACGATATCCACTTAAATAAAAAGAAAAAAAAAATGCAGCTCGATTTAAGGCCAAATAATTTATAATTTAATTTTTGTAATTACGATTTATGTCAAATAAAAATGAATTCTGGACGTCATTTGACATCCCCTGTAAACAACTTTCAAAATTATCCGACCCCCACCCCCTATGTTTTTTTGTTTTTGACATAGTTAATGGTCGGCCCCTAAGTCCCGATCCCAACGTTAGAAAATAATGCTTTTCACTGAATTCGTTAGACACGAAGTGACAAATACACGGGTGTCATGAGTCATGACTCATATTATGTCATAGTTAACTCATAGTTAACGAAAATCGGTGCGGTTTAAGTGGGTCAGAAATGTAGGCTACTAAGCTACTATTTAACACCAAATTTGATAAATTGCAAATAGACATGAAACCATATACCATATTACTAGTACGGTAAAAAGTTATACAAACCATTTAAAAATGTAAAATAACTAAAATAAAATTATATGGACTGCAAATTTAAGTCTTATACCACAATGATCCCGGAACTATGATATAAAAAAATTATAATAATAAAATAACGAAATCAAAAATTAACTATTCCATTCTATTTTTAGTTTTTTCCCCCTCATACTCTCCAGTTTATTTTAAAATTAAATAGTGTATTGCTAAAACGGCAAAATAAATAATGTAAGTAAATGAGTAGCCTTTCAATTTTGTTTAAACCGGTTCAAATTAAATCTTAAAATGAAATTCTAAAGTTAAATTCTTATACCTGGTAACATAAATTATGTCTCATTGTGTTACTTGTTTCGTAAAAATTTTAAGATAACCTTTGGCTTTTGACATTTCTTCTTTTTATAATCCTGGTTTGTAAATTGTAAGCATTGTTGTTAGCGATAAATGATACTCAATGGGAACTTGAAAATATATCACCATTATCGGTCAAAATCACTTAAAAATTAAATGTCGGCTCACTCAGAATTATGCACTTTTTGACAGTTCATCAAATAATTAATTATGCCTGGGGGACGAAGGATCTTTTCAAGAATTCAGTCTGGGAATCCGTATGCGTCTGGGAAAGGCTCAGGAACAAGTGGAAGGCAAGCTGGCCAATTATTAAAACTTTAAATGAGAATGAGAAAGCTAATTAATAAATTAATTAATTATTGCATGTTCACTAAGGGTTAAGACTAAGGCAACCTTCTTTGGTTTTAGATTAAGGCAAATTTAAAAAAAAAAAAAAACTAATTTCAAGCCAGGGTATAGATAACCTCTGGACTGGAGTGGGTGAAACATAAATAAGAGTTTTATTAAATTTTTTGAATGGAGTTGAATAATGATTCCATTGAAATCTAATCATTCTAATGTCAAGTCAAGAAATCACTACAAATTTGAAATTATAAATAAATTCAGTGAATAAGTGGTGTATTGTAGTTGTGGGCCATAATGGCTTAATATTTTAAATATTCCTGCTAAAGGCTAAAGGCTAACTAAAGCCTACTCAATCTCAATCACTGAAATTACTCATTGATTGAATTATCATTTGTATTTTTATATTTATGATTAAATTATGTTTAAAAAAATAAAAATAGTTTCATTTCAGACTTAGACATGGTTTGAATTAAAGTAGAAAGCATTAGGTTGTGACTCTGAATACTTTAAAAAGTAAAAGTAAAATCAATAAAAATCTGTTCACCACCAATCTGTTCATCGGACCAATAGGCCACCTATATCATACTATATTATATTAAACTGTACATTTTCTCATTTTATTTCCAAGTCATGGACCTGAAGATCGAGATGGAAATATTGTCCCGTTGGCATCTATGGTTGTTCTACCCAAGCATAGCCAACTGCCTGACATACCTGGTGACGGCAACCTTTACTTTGAATGTATGCTTTTTGTCTTTGGCATAATAATGATGTGCCTGCAGTATATCAATCTCTACAAAACTGTATGGTGGCTCCCTCAGTCACATGCACAATATGCATTGGTAACTTTTACATATTTTTTATTCCAAATATTATTTTCTAAAGTTTAAGCCGTAGCATTATTTTGGAAAGAATTGATTCCTAAATTATGGCATCATATACTAAAAAAAATTGTAAAAATCTGCTTGGTTCTTTCTTAAAATATATATAATGAATTGTTTTTTTTACTGAAGGAAAAAGTGTTTTTTTCTAATTTACATAGGTTTAGTGATTAGGATTTTCCCCTTAAATTCATAGAAGTTTAAGTTAAAGGGTGTTTAGAAGATTTATAGGGATTTCGTTTCTAACTTTTGGTAATTGGGGTCATCACCTTATTTTATTGTCACACAATCAATGAGGAAGGATTTTAAGAAGAATTGTTATCTATGTAAAAATTTGAACAGCAGAGGTGGCGCTGGGGGGTTGCAGGATTGGCTCACACTATATTTTGATGGTTGTTGTTTTCAGGAATACATCTGTAAAACAAACTAATTTATTTGTAAAAATTTCAATTGTAAAACAATCCACAATTGAAGATAAAAAAGAAATTTGGCATAATTTGATAAGTAGAAAAGTATCAAAATTTAAATAATATATAAATACTAAAATATTTTTCATTGCTTATTTTGCGGTAAAATTATTCGCGGTCCACTCTCCTTGGGTCTGAAAGACTTTGCTTCCTCTCTGGGGAAAGTTGTTGCATTACACCCCCCCCCCCCCCCCCCCCCCCCCCCCCATAAGTGGCCGGGGAATTTTGCTTCGGGAGGAGAACCTCCCTACTAGTCAGGCACGCCACGTAGAGGCTAACCTCATGTGACACCTCCGAATTGCCTCGGTGGTGCGGGACTCTGAGTTAGAGGCGTTCAGTTGTCGTCACCCCTGCGCGTTGTGTCTACAAACATTTCTAATTATCACTGACAGATATAATTATTATTCTTGAGAATTAAATAGATTTATAGTGAGTTATATTAAAGTACTGTATCACATTCATCTTATGGGATTTGAGTCATTATTTTTGCAGTTTATATTTTTTGAAGTCATTCATCTAATAATATAAAGTGAAGCATGTGAAAATCAGGACTCTTCATTTCATTTCACAAGTTGTATACATGACGTTCAAATTAGAAAACCTGGACTAATAATAATTAGTAAGGTTACATCTTTGTTGAATCAAAAATATCTGCCACTATGACCACTTCTCGCCACTGTTCAGGTAACAGAGGCTTGTCATCCACATATTCTGATAAAATCTGTTGTTTGAAAGTGGATGACATCAGTACTATTACTATTACTGCTAGTTTAAGTAATAGTAAACTGTACAAGTTCAATAGTTTTAGCAAATTATTTGAATAATACTCTCGCACTTACTGTAAATGTTTTCCAGCTTTAGTTCAGGGCAATGCTCCCTTTCTGGATGCCACTGTTAATACATTTGTTGCATCAACTTTCAACATAGTTGTCCACATGTGTCTTAATCAGATGCCTGAAATATAAAGCGAATATATTTTATCAAATTACAGTGTTTCAATTAATTCTAGAGATTTACTAGCAGTATCTCTCTAATGGGGGCCTTATCCTGAGCCGCTTGGCTCAGTCGTAGTAAGAAATCAGCGTATAGGCACTCAAAAAGTTAGTCAAAATAAACAAAATCAGGCTGTAAACATGAAACAGCTTACTGAATCACAAAGCAAAATGGTGCAACGAACAAAAAAACCATTGCACAGCTTCAGTTTTTTGCAAAATCATTATTTAATTTCAAGCAGATACAGTTGGCTTATGGGACAGAAGTGGAAAATCTGCCAGCCGATACTGTCAGCTCTCAGGAGTCAAAGAGTTAAACAATTGAAATTAAAATTTTCTGTTTTCTCATAAATTACTGAAATTTTAATTGGGTAATTCATAGGAATGTTTTCATGATTACATTGAAGATTTGAATTATGCTTTATAAATGTGTTACATACCGTTAAAAGGTTTAACAAATTTAATCTGTTTTAAGGTTTGGCTCGTTGGTTGAAAAATGAATTTCTTAAAATTTTGTACTTATCTAAAATAGCCTCGAGTGGGTACCCTAATCTTAAGGAAAACAAAATTAAAAGGATTTTAAACATTATTTTATCAAAGACTGAAGTCCAATAGATAAATAAAGAGGGTGTAACTTTTTCTATCCTCAGAAGCTTACTTACATTAATTATTTAATGTATTGTGATCATTTCTGAAATGTTTTTTGCTCTTCATTTTTCAGAACTTTTACTTGATAGACTTCCATCTTGTTGGTCTCATTTCTTTAGTGTTAGCAGCTCGCTTTCTCATTTGCTTTGTTCAAGAGGTATTAATTATTCATTTATTTTTTCCCCAAAAATTTTATGCTGCTCTAATTTATGATAAATTAATTCTGATTCAGTATAAATTTGTAAACAAAAATTATTTATTGTTTGCTTTATATTTGCTGGCCCCTTTTATCCAGCCCCCATTTAACCTTATTGGAGTAACATATTTTTAACAAAAGTTTTAGTTAGGTAATGAAATGGTTTAAATAAGTTAAATGCTGAAATATATATTATACAAGTAACATGGAGATGAGAATTTTGTTGTTGTTATTCATTCATGCAGTGAACAAATAAGGTTTTTTTTTGCACTCACTGACTCAATCAAAATGTAAACAAAGTTTTATTTATTTAATCTTTAAAATATACAGGTTCATAGCTCCAAAATATTTTTTTGGTTTGTACAAGGTGTTAAAGGGATACTAGTCCTGTCTGCCATCATTGGCTTGATATTCACTTCCTACAAAGTAATACTAGAGCACGGATTAAAGACATGTCTGTTTCTGTGCTATCCGTAAGTAATTTTATGTTGATCATATTTTACAAATTAGGTCAGTCAAGTAACAAAATTAAGTATTTTTCACATGAGCCTTTAAAAAAAATTAATATATATGTAAAATATTGTATGTATGCCAGGACCAAAGGGTGTCAAACTTTATGAATCTAAGAGAACCCATTTTTATAATATCGTTTAAAAACCCAAATATACCTTTTGACCAAAATTTAAGAAATGATGTCCTAGGTTTTGGTATGCATGTTTTATGTCATGTTAAACAAGTATATGTAAGGGTAGTCAGTTTAACATAACATAATATTTGGGTTTGTATAGCAAGGAAATAGCAAGTACATGTAAGGGTAGTCAGCTATTACCCTAATAAAATGAATTATTGCTATCTTCTCTCTTTTCATTTTCTCTCCAAGTCCCCTTACGCTTTTTCCATTTTGCATTGTCTATCTATTTTATATTAGCATAGTAATAGTTTAGTGGCGCTGTTACAAAGTTCTATAGAACTGGTGGACAAAGTTCAAGCGTTAGTTAATATTTTGTTGTCCCTCGCCGGGTGAGTGTTAAAGAATAAAATATTAAATATTATTGCCCTGTGAGTTATATGTTTAAGCAATTGTCTTTTTTTATTTGTCTTTGATCACTATTCAGCCTCAAGATATATTGGCTAGAAAATGTGCACAAAAGACGCCGACCGAATTTCGGCTTTGGTTTCATGGCCGAAACAGAAAAGTTAACGTTTCGTTTAAATCTCATTAAGCTTTGGGTTTTGACTGAAAGTCTCATTAAAATTTTGGTTTATGTTTTATTTTCGGCCGAAAGTGATTTTTAACTTTGGGTCTTGTTTTGGCTTCGTCCATAATCAGAAAATCACTTTCGGTCGGTCTCTAATGCAGAATAATTAAGACTAGAATTTGTTCACGAATAATTTATTTGAAAATAAATTTTCAGTGCTGTGATCTACTTGATTTTATTTGGCTTTGCAATAAAGCCACTTTATCAGCGTTATCAAGCATGGCCAAGACCAGCTTTGGGAATAGACAAACAGTCAGGACCACAAAGATTTAAAGTCAAAGTAAGACTCAAGGCTTTTGGTCACCATTCAAGAAAATATGGAGATTCACCACACATTTTTATCTGCTTTTTAATACTCCAACTCCAAAAGACTTTTTAATCTAATATATTTAAAGGGTTATGCCTACTGCCAGTCCATCTCCATTCTCATCAAAGCAAACTAGTTAGATTCATTCAATGTAACCATTTCGATAAAATTTTAAGAGTTGTTTTTTTTGTTACTATACATTCATTTTTGTTTAAAAGTTGACATTTCAATGTTAATGATTCTGAAATGTGAATCCTAAACTTGAAAAATGTTGGCAGGATGTAAAAATGTGGGATTGGTGTCTTATTGGATCCCTACAGCCTAAATATTTGGTCTGTTAATAGAAGGATGAAACTTTCATTATTTTTGTCTATAGGATGATGCTCCTTTAGGACACACATGCACCCTTACACCAGATATTGTAAGAGAAGAAGTAGATATACTCAAAAAGGACTTCAACAGCAGACTTAAGCAGGTTCTCTTTAACTCACTGACCACATCTTTTTATGCCACCGGAGTTCCTGTCTGGTTTTCTCAGGTAAGGAGCCACCCATTGTACATTTCTCCTGTGGGTAATCATGATTACATTATTCCCACTCACCTTGCAATAGATATTAGAATGACATTCTATTTAAAACCATGACAGTTTCTATCATAGATCACCAAAGTTTCTAAAGGTACAATTCTTATTCATCATTGTCGGATTTCTGTTAGTTTTGTCAATCAGAAAAAAGTATGTCACTAGATCTTTGAGAACAAAGGAATGCTACTGTCAAAGTATTTCATTTCCTTATGACTGTTTGTTACCTCTTCATTTCTATGTTTTGTTAAAAAGAGAAAGAAAAGAAAAGCATTTATCAACTCTATAACTCCTAAATTACTCAGAGCAAAAAGGAAAAAAAATTATAGATGCAATTAAATTTTGTAAAATTGTTTGCTAATTGATTTATAACTGAAGCTAACATAGCTAATTCTAATATTTGATACATATTGCATGGTTAGAATGCACACAGTAATTGTGATGCATGCTGGGTAAGTTTTAATTTTTTCACATCATTTGTTGTTAAAAGACTCTTTTTATGGATTGTTTTTCGAGTGAGTTATGATAAGAGAAAAAAATTAAATTGATTTACCCAAAGAAAATTGATGATCATTATCAATATTATTCATTTATAAATCATTGATTGCAATAAATTAAATCTTTTGATTTTTGCTATATTTTTCACAACATAATTTATTGTTAAAATTGAAAAGCAAATAGAATTAAAAATAAACTTCTTTTTTCATTATAAGAAGAGTCATTCTTCACAGAAATTTATTTTCTGTATTTGAGTTAAGCTTGTTTTTGTGTTTCAAATTATTTGTCTTTAAATATGTGTGACTTAAAGATTATATGAAATGGAGGATTTTAAATTGGAGCTACCTGCACTGAATATAGCATAGACCTCACACTCACATGCAAGAAATATAATGCTGAGTTTTACCTTCACAATTTTAACCCAAACTTTTTTGCTATAAGTGTATTTATGAAACCAAAAAAATCAAGCAAGTTTGTTTTTTTCAGAAATGAACCATCTTTATTTCATTTAAAGTTCTGGAAAAATTTAATGAAGTCTTCCATTTCAAAACATGTTATGTGTTGTGTATTATCTCTAAGCAAAAAAAGTGTGACTTTTTTTTTCGTGCACTATTACTATTACATCAAGATAGTATATTTGAAACTTTTAAATCATAACTCAAAATTTAAAAGCTTAAGTCAAAATTTTAAAACTTTACTCAATTTTTTTTTAAATGCATAAATTGAATAATCCTGCAAAATATTTCTTATTTATCAATTCTGCTTTTTAAAATTATTATTTTTATAGATGTCTGGTGATACTTACAATATGAAAATTCAAATAATACTGATTTAAAAAAATAAATAATAACTGTACTTCAATTTAAATAACATTTTGAGTGAAAAGACTTCCTTTTAAAAACTTATTTCTTATTGTAATTTTGGCTGCAGATATTTTGTTCCTTTCATGTGCTCTTGATCTAGCATGTTAATAAAATATTCTCAGTGTGAATAAAGTGTCAGTGCATGAGCTTTTTAATACAATATGAGGCTTATAATTATTAACAATTTAAAATATTTCACCAAATTATTTATTACCAACAAATCCTAAAATATAATAGAGTGTTTTAAAGTTTTCTTTTATAATCAATTGTGCTGATTAGAGACCATCATATTTGACAGAAGTTAATTTTCTTTTTTTCCTTATTCAAGTTTTTTTGTTAGCAATAGCAGGCTAAGCTTAAAACAAAAATAACTTCGGAATCTTTATATGAAGTAACTGACATGTTTCTCATTTTAAAACATCAATTTATCATGACCATAATCTAACAATAGTTTAAATTCAAGCCTTTATTAAGATTTAAAAATAGCTTTTTTTAAAAACATGATTAGCCTTTTAATTATTTTGTAATACCAGTAAATTTTATGTACTATTTTTGTTCAAAGAAGATGTTTTTCCCCTCCTCAGAATACATTATATTATGATTCTTTGTGGATGTGGCAACACGTATGCCTCACTTGGCTTAGTGCAGTTCTTATGTTGACATGCCATTTTCTCCCACCACACTACCTACATCTCTTACATAAAAGTGCCAGGCACCTTGGCAGATGGCAGAGAATGGAAGCGCGACATGCCCATGTGCCATACAATGCGTAAGTACTAAAAAAACAAAACGGGTTGATATGTTATTGGGGCTCGGATGCTCTTGCAATTTTTAGTTGATAAGGATTTTTCAAATAATGTTCAAATTGAATTAAAAGTTTTCTATTATTTCTATGTCTACCATTAATATTTTATCTAGGGAATATCCGAAAATTGCCTTGGACATTTTTTAACTCTGCCAAATATCCTGTTTTCTCCCAAATAATTGACCCAGCAAATACTACTATTACTACCAATGTTTTGTGTATTAAAATGGGTGGATTGGAGTTCATTTCCCACCAAAGCCCAGAAAGTAAGAAAAACATCAGCTGCTTAACGCTAACTTTATACCCACACTAAATAACATTTGCTGCGCCAGTGCTCTAACATGTTCACATCCTCTCCAAATGGATAGATCACTACTTTTTATTTTCATGTCAAATTTTGAGGGGGATTTTTTTTTTTTTTTAAATTTTTTTTTTTGCACAGATTAATAGTAATTTTGTTAAAAATGGATTCAGGGGATAAAGTTGAAAGTAGATAGCAATTTAGATCTAATTGCAGGTAATTAATCAGTTAATTATGTTATTATTTTTTTGTTAGCTATAGTATTTGTAATAAAGATTCCTGTATATAAATTAATGAAGTAAAGTTATTTTCATTCTCACTTTACCAAATTATTGAGTTTACCATCTTATAACATTATTTTTCACCATGTAGTCATGTGTATAGAACTGTTTTTTTACTCTATGCACTATATGATATAATGTGTTAAAAGTAAGGGTTCTCATACGCATTTTTAAGAAATTTTTCATTACTGGGCTAACGATTATTATAGGCCTATTAATGCTGTTGCTAACAATCGGCAATCTAGCATGTAACTCCGCATAACACCAGTAATGCCAGTAGCGCCGTTTTGAAGGGATATCGCATTTGTTGCTTTGATATGACTGCAGTTCATTTTAAATATAATAATTTAAACGATTTTGACATTTTTATTTAAAAATAAATATTTAATTCATTAATTTATTTATATATAGTTAGATCAATAAATCACGTGATACGTAGACATGGAATTATGTCTGGAACGCATTATAATTGGTAATATTTGGTAAGTTTTATCGCGAATCATGTACAAATAGTACTTGGAATTGTACCCGAATTCTGCAAGTAGAGGTCCTAAAAAAACACAGATTCGATACGCTGTGAAAATGTCTACTCGGCTGTTCCATAATTTCATCAGAATTGAAGATATGTGACTTTGGATATGTGACTTTGGATATGTGACTTCAATATTAACCCATGATCCTGCCTAATCGGTCTGAGTGTTAAAAGTCTATACCCCCACCAGACTGACATTTTGGTCTCCTTACCATAGATCGTCAGTCCTTAATATCAATTTTTTTTTTTTTAATACTGAGGTTGGGGTTTACCAAGTGACTTGCGGAAGGTCACAGTAATGGTGGCACCCATGGAAGCATTGCTTTTGTTAAGGTCTAGTCATGTTTTTCGACGTATAGAAGTGATGAAAAGCAAACATTACTAGTTGAAAGGGTGAAAACCAGAGCCGGCTAATGACAATGTAAATGAGTTAAAGGATATAATTGTGTTTTGAAAACGGATAATAATTGAAGCTAATACCAACAGACAGTGATGGTGAAGAACATTTGGACTTCCGACTTGTGATGGTAGCAAAGTCGCTGATGATGGAAAGGATTGGTTGGGAAATAAAGAAAAGACAAAGACTGTCCCTAGCCCTAGCCCTGGTTTTTATGAAAATCATGGTCGTGTAAGTGACAGCGAGTCCACACCAATTTTTAGACAGTTTTCTGCGTGATCGGTTTTATAATAGTGATGGACCACTAGGAAAAATTTATATTGATATCTATAAAATTTATATAATTGTATAATCATGGAGTTTTATTTGCTTGTGTGTCTTGTTTGCGTGTGTGTCTTGTTTGCGTGTGTGTCTTGTTTGCTTGTGTGTCTTGTTTGCTTGTGTGTCTTGTTTGCTTGTGTGTCTTGTTTGCGTGTGTGTCTTGTTTGCTTGTGTGTCTTGTTTGCTTGTGTGTCTTGTTTGTGTAAATTTCCCCCAGGACCCAGATGTGTGGGTATTTTAAGACCAGGAGCCAAGAGTTCAAAGATCAAATAGGATAATATGCTTTCATATCAGCTGGAGAATAATGAATGACAAAACTTGCACACAAAAAAGGAGATACATATGGATTTCAAGTGGGGGGAAAAAAGATTGATGTTCATTTTTTTTGTTTACCTTAAATCATGTTTTGCCCAACACACTTGGCAATCCTTCTAACCATCCTTTTTAAATTTAAATATAAAAATCATTATTGACTTTACCCTTTCCCCTTATGTTATTTTATTTTGATTGAATATCTTAATAGTTGGTCAGAGCTCCAAGTCTGGCCGCAAGGAGCCTTAGTGAAGCATGTGAGGGGACTGTTCAAGGCTGAAGGCATCAATGTAACAGCTGAGCCTGGTAACAGTCTACACAGTAGATTTTATGTAAGTGGATAAACCATATTGTAAACCGCTGACCTAAGTGCAGTAAAAGACAAATTAATGATGTTCAGGTTGACTTACTAAGATTTTGTGTGACATGGAAATTGTTTATCAAAACTGTTTGAAGAAACCAGTATGTTAAATGTATATTTATTTGGAAAAATAAGCGTACTTTCATTGTCTGTAACAAATGCTGTATGTTTTATCCACAGCTTCTGTTTCATCAGCCTATGTGTTAATAAATGCTGTATGTTTTATCCACAGCTTCTGTTTCATCAGCCTATGTGTTAATAAATGCTGTATGTTTTATCCACAGCTTCTGTTTCATCAGCCTATGCGAGTGATGAACTGGCTTGTTTTTCTCACTTGTCTTGTGGTTGGCTACCAGTTCTTCTGTCTTGTTCAGAGCTCAGAGTGGAGCCATGTGGTTTCACTGGCTTTGCTGATGTTCTGTAATTTCTACACCCTTTTCAAGCTGATGAGAGACTGGTTCGTCATGGGCAAAGTGTACAAAGATCATGATTACGGATTATCAAATTAAAACTGATTGTAAAAATTCAGGCTAATTGTTTTTTTTTCCTCTAAATTGATTGAATGGTTTTGAAACTGAATTTACGTGAAATGAAAGTCAGTCCATTTACTCTAATGCATTATGGGGGATGCTTTCTTGTGTGTTTCAGGCCTTGTTTATTTGACAAAATTATGTGTCACAGAAACATCCATTCCCTTAGATCAGTTGAAAGATAGCTTCATGAGAGTAAACGAGTTAATGATGGCTACACCAATGTAAATTATTGTAAATGGATTAAATGATGGCTTCATCTTGTAAATTGGTTGAATTGTGGCTACCCATGTGTGACGTGGCTCCACTATAACTATAAATTAAATGGGTTGAATGACTACAGCCGTCCCATCAATGAACAAACCCCCCCCCCCCCAACCCAAGCGATCTCGCACCGTCCAACGTGCCAACATCCCCCCTACAAGTACAAGCCAGAGAGACATGGACAGTTCTATAGCAGTCATGCTAGACAATAAACAATCTCCACATCAGCTGCCTGCACAAGCTTCTTGTCCTATGGTGGAAGGACAAAGTCTCTGATGCAGTACTGTTGTCCTTGTAGTTACCCTGTCAGGGACCTTGTCCTGCCGACCGTATGCCCACAGGTTTGCCTCCTCAGTGTCTATACGTTTCTACAAAAGGACAAGTCAGATAGTCTGGGGATATTGGGATAATGCCAGGCAGCAGACTGCCTAAACTTCTAATGCATGGCCAACTATTCCACGGCTATCAGTTGGATGGCAGAAAAATACGTTTCAAAGATCACCTAAAATGGCCCTCAAATCCATGGACACCGACCTGAACTGATCGAACAGGACGACTCCCTATTTAAGCACACACTTCACAGATTATGCGTCCAAAGGAAACACACAGCAAAGAAGAAAAAACAAAAAAACAGCATGGCCTCTAGTGCCACTAGAACCCCATAACCCATGGGTTTTTACAAACGGGTGTGATTACAAGGCACACATAGGACACGAAACCCACCTGCGTAAGCCTACTTATCGTCGAATGTGGCCTTGGTCATCTTCACAAACCACCTGCGTAGGCCTACTCGTCGAAAACGTTTTGCTCATCTTCGCGTGGGAATGACCAGCAACACATGGACATACAAACACGAGAGCGGTTGAAAAATCTAAAAGTAGTGAAAGACCCGGACACGTGCAACAGGGACCAGTTTATTTTTGTTACAGTTTTCCTCACAAGACTGGGGACACAGGTGATGCAGAGTCATCAAACATAACGTGTGTTGCGTAACAACAGACAAAACTTTAAAGTAGTTGCACCACCTTCTGCAATTAGAGAGATGTAGAATTAATTAGTTAAAAGAATTAAATCAAAGGAAGTTTAGATCACCAATCCATATTTTCGCGCAAATTGTAAAAAAAAAATAAAAAATATCTCGCAAGCCAATCGGCACCCCCCCCCCTCCCTTTTTGCGCTATATGCATGTGTTTATGGAAATTAAAGCCTGTGTCTATCATGAGATAGTAAAGCTACATTTGTTGTGATAGATGACTTGAGTTGATTCAATACTACTACGACGTATTACAGCGTGTGAAAGAACTTGACGAATTAACCCATCTAGTATAGACAGGAGTTGAAAGCTCACTGTGAGAACAGTAATTATTTCAGAACTTTCCCGGGGGGGGGGGGATTTTAACTTTAACAACTTAATATATGATTATTTTCCCTACTAACAATAATAATAACACTACATATTTTTGCTCCGGGGGGGCACTTGGCTTTCCCCCGAGGGGGGGGGCAGTGTCCCCCCGGATATATAGCTGAAAGAAACCCTGTTTGAGAAGCTCTGATGCAACTCATAGAACATTTGTGCCTTCTTGGAAACTAAACCATACTCAAATGTTTATGGACAGCCCCATGCTCAAGTTAAAGTTGGCCGATATATTTGTCATTTGTTTCTCTGACCTTGTTTTGCAGTAGAGATCTGCAGTGAGCCTCCAATGGTGACTGCGGGACTGGTGGAGATAAAATATCTGCATTTCTGAAATAAAATCAATTGGATGTGAATTGATCTTTAAATAAACTATTATTTGCCGTTCAGGAATGTCCTAACACGTTAATGAATTTGCGAGCAGACCGAGTGGTGGGGAGGGTGGACCACCAAAACCAGAGAGGAAAGCGGCTCAAAGGCAGACACCTAGGCTTAAGATGGATAGGGACGACGTGGACAACAAAGATCTACAGCAGCTGGGAATCCAAGCAAGGAAAAGAAATAAATCAGTGAGGTTAGATACGTGAATCGAACCCAAACCGTGAACGCCGAACTCAGACCCTGCTGGCGACCGAACCACATTGGAACCCGAAGTTCAAATTTCAATGATGATGAACATGATGATGATTGAGTACTTTTATAGCGCTTCTGTCCTTGCTATTTTAGCATGCTCACAGCGCTCTGATGTCCTAAAATCTATTTAAAGAAAACGTCTTTAAAGTGAAAGGTTCTTAAATGAACTTATTATCAAGTTGAATCTCCCTCAAACTGTTCCATAAGTTAGGCGCAATAGCTTCGAAAGAGCGCACTCCGTACGACTTCCTTCTGTGTCCATCCACACTGAGAACTCTCAGTAAGGTCTGTTGAACCAACTCAAACATTCCATCACAAACTTATTGAAACCGACGATGGTTTTACAAATGTGGCACATCACTATCGACGTCAGAAATGATTCTAACTATAAAATCCAATATTGCAAAACGATTAAAAAAAAAAAACACAACAGCAAAAGGATGTTATTTAAATCACCCCCTAGCCACCTTTTCCCTACCAACACCCACTCTGGCATATGCTTGATTGTGGAGCAGTAGATATGTGGCAAACACACTCCCCGACCCTATTTCATCCCGTGCCAGAAACTCTTTCAAAACCAACACATTCAGATACCGGTAGTATAGGCTTATTTCTTAATAAATCAAACACATTGTTTGCAGTTGACAACCAGATGATGCGAGATATGCGTGGGTGGAGAGGGGTAGGGCCAAGACGCCACGATAGTACGATGATCCTTCAAGCAGGGGCGTAGAAAGGGGGGGGTGTAACCCCCGTGCCTCACTTATACTGAGGGGTGTTATTTTTTGGCCAACTGCAGAGAGAGAGAGAGAGAGAGATTGGTAAAGAAAGGGAGAGAAAGAGAGAGAGATTTAAAAAGAGATAAAGAAAGAGAGAGATTGAAAGAGAGAGAAGGCTTACATAATTCGATAGTTGTTTGGCAGGATGTCATGTTTGATCCTTGAGGACCCCACCCCCCAGAGCTCACACTGCTTGACGTGAATCTGATGTCTTTGTCCGCAGGCCCACGGAGCTGTCTTGAAATTCTGTTTACAGAGTAAGCTTTCTCCAGCGGTGACGCTTCGGCCATTCCTAAAACGGAGAATTGATAGACACACTCATCAAAATTTCAAGATTTATACTTTGACGTAGGGAGAGGATTGCGTTTGGGGGGGGGGGGGGCGATTTGAACCGGGGGGAACTTTATTTTGAAGGGCGGAAACGGAAGTTTTTTTTTTTTTTTTTTTTGTAGTAGAGGGGGGGCAAAAAAAAATTGGCCCACCCCAGGGGGGGGGGGGCGATCTGAACCTGGCGGAACTTTATTTTGAAGGGCGGCAACTGAAGATTTTTTTTTTTTTGTCTTTGTAGTAGAGGGGTGGCAAAACAAAATTGGCCCACCCCAGGCGGCACCACCCTTAGCTACGCCGCTGGCTTCATAACATATGTTATTTAAAAAAAAAATGCAAATACAACAGGCTGTTATTAAAATGAAGAAGTGTTACACGTAAAAAAAAAAAAGTAAAATAAAGTAAAATAGTAGTGATCTACTGAATACATTTCTTCTAATGACCAGTCTTTAAAAAAAAACAATGTTATTAGTGTGCTTACCCGAGGCGAAGTATTCGAGTACAGGGAAAACAAATGAAGTCTGGCTGATCGATTTCCAGAGTCAGTTCCTTGCAATGTTTTCTGGGCCTGATAAGAATAACGTCCCGCAAGCTCAAAAATATATATGTTCATCTTATTATTTCTTATCTATGATCACCGATGGTCTAAATAAAGTCATCTATAGTTTTTACAAGTAAATTATTTAAAGCAGTGGTCGGAAAACACATTAATCTAAAGAGCCCATAAATCAGCAGCGGGACGATTAAAAACAAATTTAAGAGCCAAATTTCTTTTCAAGAACCTGTCAAGAACCATGTTTTTTTTAGTCAAAACCGATTTCTGCCGAGCCACGATTTGCCGACCACCGATTCAAAGAAACCAAATCAGACATGAATGCATGCTATTTAATCGTGACGTTACCCGCCACCCTAGGCCTAGTGATTATTTATAAAAATGTTGTACCGCCTCCGGTGGCATTAACCTAGAGTGACCAAACGTCCTGTAAAAACGGGATTGTCCCGGTTTTTTTTTTTCACGATCGTACCCGGTGTCCTGGAAGAGTCTATCGGGACGCCTAAATGTCCCGTTTCTAAAACCAAACACATTTTCAAATCACTAAAACTTCCTAATTTATAGTATAACTTCAAGTAATATTTTGTCTAGCTGTGTAGCCAGTGCCAGTAGTGATGTGGGCTCACGTGATGGCTGCACTGTTCCCCATCCACCACTCTGCCGACGCTGCGTAAACGACAGTCTCCCTCACCCATAGATCGTATATGTATAAATAAATAAGTATTCACTGCAAAAATTATTGTTTTCTTTTATGATATGCCTCAGAGTTTCAATTAAATTAAAAAAGTGAAGGTAAATTTAAAAAGATTTCTAGATCTCAAAATAATTAAAATGCGCATAGTTCAATAAACAGTCTCCGGCGGAGGCCCCTCGGACCCCTCTTTAGCTGCAGGGTATCCCCCCCCCCCTCCCACGACCCTCCTTGGGTGTGTCCCGTTTTTTTCCAGTTCATGATTTGGTCACCCTAGAACCCTACCTATGCAACTTTTCAGCAGACATTAATGCAACACAACTTTGAGCTATTCGC